TTGGTTGGAAATGTCATTTTTAACCTAGGCATTCTGAATGAAAATCGTTCGTTTCGAGCGAGTTTAAGACCGCTGGTTTAAAAATACATTGCATAGATTATTCCCAAGTTTCCAAATGTTCCTTTCTTTCCTCTTTCATTGAAAATAATATGTGAAATTAATTCAAATCCGGGTAAAATTAAAATATAAACTTCGGGATGTCCAAAAAATCAAAATAAATGTTGATAAAGAATTGTATCTCCTCCACCTGAAGGGTCAAAGAATGATGTATTAAAATTTCGATCTGTTAATAATATAGTAATTACAGCTGCTAATACTGGTAGTGATATAATTATTACTATTGCCATGTAAGTAAATAATTGTATACATTTGAGGTGTTTCATTAAAAAGTATTTTCTAATGTTCATTTTTTTACAATCCTTTTTACAATTCAATTTTAATTTCAAATTATAAAAAGGACACATTTTCAACAATGACAGAACAATAAATGAACGCTTGAAATGTACGTGTATTTACGACGAGAGGTAAACGAATAATTTGGTATCTCAAAACAAAAAGACAACAACAAACAAATCTTGTAGCACAAGTGTAAAGCGACATCTTATTAAAAATGCATAAACTTTCCATTCAATCTAATAGTACGCAATATAATAGGTGTATGTTGACCTCAGTGGCTCTAGTGTTAACCCTTTTAGACCCGAACGAAAGTATCATACCTATGCGAAGAACATTGAACGAATCTAACGAATTCGTTAAGATTTGGAAAGAAGCTCGTAAAAAACAAAATAAAAATTATATTTTCAGAATTCAAAAAGGAATACATTACGAAACAAGGCGGAATAAAGCAAAGTCAATATGTAGTATTTGTTGAAAATCATACGAGTAACATATGTAGCTACATACAAAACACTATGAAAAACATAAAAATGAATTTCTCTTTTGCAAATAATGTTTGTAGATAAGAAAAATTAGGAATGAAAAGTGTGAAGCGGTTAAATCTTGTTATGTAGCGATGAGTATTTAGCGAATGAAAGGCCTTGAGATTTTTGTCAGTACTGTCGAAGTTTTCGCGTAAGGTAGATTTAACCGTTTGCGCTCGAGTGGCGCCTCTAGGGCGACATATATAATTTAAAAGTGACTTTTTGAACGTACAATTTTAATTTTACTTATATCAGAATACAGCTAATTATAAATTGTAATAATAATTCATTGAGTCACGAATGATTCGTAGATGTTTCTTTTCTAAGTAGAGTTTTTTGGTTTTACTGAAATTTATTATAAAAATGGACTGGATTTGATTCTATAGAGCAATGCCTCGAGCGCAAAGGGTTAATTTGATCTTTAATACGTTTATCATTAGTCACACAAATAATTTATTTACCATCGATGCTTACTAATTTATACACCGTGTAACGCAACGATATATCGTCGTTGGGATTGAAAGGGTTAATGAGAGTACTTTTGTTGAAGAATATCGTTTCGGAAACCTAATCGACGGAACGCTCTTCTCGTAAACAGGGTTTGATCTCCGCGTCCCTCTCTCGGTAAGCGGTAGTTTCCAAAAATAATCGAGGTATATTAATAGACACTTTAGATACAGACGCAAGCCGAGGCGGACATCGACTAAACCCCATCTCAAGAGGAGAGGGACCAGGTATTTTCGAACGCTATGACTCTATAGTTATGTTACGCGTAGCGGTTCACGAACATTCACTAAATTCGGCCGCAAAGGATTTCGTAGAGATTAGGCAAAGCAGCATTGCTTGAAAAATTACGAGTAATCGGGTAACCACGGTATGGTAGATTGCGATAGATTTGCCACGAAGCTAATGAAGCTTCAGGATCACGCCACCCACCTCCCCGCCCTCTACTTAGAGTAGAAAGTACCATCAAAGGTCATTCAACTGTTGATTTTTCATTCAACTACAGTGCGACCTATATTTCCACGATCACCCACATCTTTGGTCATTAGTTTTCTGTTCCTTAAGGAGGTATCCTGAATTAGGTGGACTAAAAAAAAGCGGGTTTTCGTGGATTTTTTTAGGATGGAAAAAAATAATTAATTCTATCGAACATTTTATCCTATTTTCATACATATTTGAGTAGTCTGTAGAAATTTTTTCAACAAGAAATATTCAAATTGAGTCGACTGTGACGCACATTTGTAGAGTTCCTCACATTTAAAACCTCCTATCGGCGGGAAAGATGGAGGTCGTAATTTTGGTCTGACATGAAAAAAAACAAAAGAAATTTTCATTTTCATACATATTTCTTCTATGTGAACTAAGCAAAAACCCGCAAAAATGGTGAAATGTGAAATTACTGCAAGTTTGAAGAAAAGAACGAGTTCTTTGGATGAAAAAATCACTTTAACTTGATAAAAAAGTTGTTTACAATTTTTTTTGTATGAATTTTTTTAGTTCACATAGAAGAAATATGTATGAAAATGAAAATTTCTTTTGGTTTTCTTTGTGTCAGATCTGCATCTTTACCACCGATAGGAGGTTTTAATTGTGACGTGCTCTACAAATGTGCGTCACAGTCGACTCAATTTCAATATTTCTTGTTGACAAAATTTGTACAGACTACACAAATATGTTATTATATATATACTTTATTCCATCCTAAAAAAATTCACGAAAAACCGCTTTTTTTAGACCTCCTAATTTAGGATATCCCCTTAACGAAATCCTGTGAAATTGTTAGCGATAACACACACACACACACACAAACACAAACACGCTACTACACAATACGTTCAATAAGAAATTGGTGACTTTTGTTGGACTTACATTTTCTTTAGAAAATTTGGGGTGGCAAACTTTTACGGTCACCTCTTGAAATATTAGGTGTAGAAATTAATTCTGCGGTTTTCATTTAAACATTTATAGCTGTGGCTCAAGTATGAATAGTTACTTGTAATTTTGGTACGTTAAATTATCAACTTTCTAAACCCTCAATCTGATCTCTATTACAATGAATCTACAAACAGTTCAATAAGTATTCGTACCTTCTATATCTATTGAAGAAATTTGCCCAAATTCAAATTTTCATTGTAAATATATACAGTGGGTGTAGAAAATATTCGTACACCGATCAATTTCCGTAAACTATATGAAATTGTGATTTATTAACTTCTTTTTTGATAAACAATGATATTCTACATATTCTTGGAAATCTCTAGAATAGATACACTACGAAAAGATTAGGTATTTTGTATAAGTGAGAAATCAACAAGAAAAAACAATAAATCGATAGAAATACAAAAGCAAAAAGTATTCGTACAAGTGTTAAATTTTTAAAACTTCATTAAAAAAAAACGAAATTTATATTATTTATAAATAATTAATACTTTGTGGGATTTCCTTTTGATTTTATAATTACTACAACTCAACTAACTATTAAATTAACTATCATAAATGTCGATGATATTCGGGGTGGAATTTTCTTTCATTCCTTTATTAGAACATTTTTTAAGTCTTTTTTACTGGAAATTTAATGTTTTATAATTCCCAGGAAGCAATAAACTGATGTGCTTATGTTACAAATTCTACTGTAAATTGTTCGTCATAAGAACCGTGCGAATACTTATTGCTTCTATATTTTTACCAATTTTTCGTATTTTCTTGTTAATTTCGCAAATTATATAAACTAGTAATTGTTGTTTGAACTATATTCTAGAGATTTCCGAGAATATGTAGAATATAATTAATTATAAAAAAAAGGAGTTAATAATACAATTTCACATAAAAGTTTTTTGGGAAATTGATTAATGTATGAATATATTCTATACCCACTGTACAAGTATAAAGTTTATTCACGTAAATATTTAAAATGAAACGTTTATTTGAAAACATGATACCTGTCATTTAGTTTAGACAAATTTCTTCAACAGACATATGGAGGTACGCATATTTACGGGGATGACTGTATACAGAGTGTCCACGTTAAAGTGTGACAGTTATTTCAACAACTATTGATGATACAAAAAATTGTTTGTATGTAAATTGCAGAATAAAATGGGATCTCTATTGTAGCACAAAGGAATATTTGTTTATGTTATTAATTTAAACGATATGATGGTGAAGTTTCGTTATAATGATGTTTATCAGTTTATCATGTCTAGCATTATATGTAAAAAAGATGACATTACAGAATTATTTGTTACGTAAAATAATAATTCTTTAATAAATCCTTTTATTCTCTCGCACGTATCATAATAATAATGGGTTATTAAAAATAAACAAGAAAAATTTGGTTTATTAGTCTAACATGTCCGCTATCATCTATAACAACGTTGACATTCCACAAATATTTGTTATGTGAAATGAAATTTTTTTAAAATAATCTCGTTTTCGCGCGCGTACGATAATAACCCCTCAATTTAGGGATTGCCACTTTAATTACCGCACTATCGCGGATTCTCACGAGATTTATAGTTCCGAATGTTTTAAGTGCGTTTTCAGAACGGCTTGGTAATCGCCACTGTCCATTTTGTGAGATATTACAGTGAGATCGACCTTGCCGAAACCATTGAAAGCAGCCCAAATCATCACCAAGTCACTGCAAAAGTTCCTTTTCAAAAATAATTACGAATCGCGACGCAAATCTCTCCAATATGTAATATCGAAAACTATCGGAGCCGTTCAAGTTGAATTCAATAGTGTGTACCAAAGAGGTTGACACCCGTTATATTAAATTAATAACAAAACCCACAAGAGAAGACGATAATAGAAAATCTCGGTTGTTTTAAAATAATTTTTTTTTGTCTATCCAAGAAGTTGACATCCGTTATATTTAATTAATAAAAAAATTAATAATAGAAGACGATAATAGAAAATCTGGGTTGTTTTAAAATAATCTTATTTTGTCTACCAAAGAGCTTGTCCATCGTTAAGTTCAATTAATAGAAAAATTAATAATAGAAAATAATAATAGAAAACCTCGGGTGTTTTAAAATAATTGGTGAAATCGGAAGCTACGGATAAAAATGAACTTACCAGCGTAAGGGCCACACGGCGACGCGTTGTCCTTGCCACTTTTACCATCCTTGCTTCCGCTTCCTGAAACAGTCGAACAAAAAAATCGATTTGCGATCATTCGTACCTTCGAATCAGGCTTTATCACGTTAAAGCGGCGAAAACGTTTGAACGAAAGAAGCCAGCAAATAACCGAGAAAAATAACAAATGCAATAAAAGTAAACAATCAAAGGCGGCCGTACGATATGCAAGGTAGAACTATCGAGTCTGCTTTAACGCAACAGTTCCTTTTGGGATGTTGCCAAATAAAAAATCGAATTGCTGCGAACCGGATAACGGCCATGCTGCACGTAGTAGCAAACACCGTTTCGGTGTTGGCCAGTGATTACATTGCGATTAATTTTGCGAAAGTCAGTCACAATTGCTAGAGTAAACAGTGATCGCAGTGCGGGATAAAATTATAGTCCATCTAAAATTTTTGTTTATACTTAGATGTACAAGTAAGGACGTAAATATTTTACACACCGTGTGCAGGGTGGTCCACGTAACTTGCACGCAATATACGTTGCCAATAATTGAGTTCAAATACCGATGGTGGGTAAATTCGGTACAGAATTACGATCACTATAGATGCTTGCGATGTTGGCGATATTACGTTAAGTAAATTGTCGTGAAACGAAGCGCAACTATTGGTTAACTGTTAGGTTCAATAAAGGCCAATACTTTTTCACTCAGAATTTTACGTTAGGGCATCCTATAAGTAATGTCATTTGCCGAACCGCTAACTATCGATAAAAAATATTAAAACGTATGATTAATTCAATCACAAACGTATTATCGATCCTATTTCTATAACTCTTTTCCATCTACTACTAAAATTTTCGAAATTTTTAATTAAAAAACTCATCCAGCATTGATTTTACGTGTTCAATTTCATTCAATCTTTTCTGGTTAAAATCTACAGATTTCATGATGAGTGTAAAAATTAGGTGATTGAAAATCGATACAGGAAAGAGACATGCGAAATCACTTTTGCGATTTATTTTATTTTAACAACTTTATTGTCGAGCGTTGCGTCAGTGTGACATTTTTCAGATATGCACCCATACTATTTGTAAATGATTTTCAAACATAAAAAACGTTGCAGCGATCAAAATAGGTGGTATTCATTTAGTGCAAGATCCAAAATGTATGCTGGATGTGATAAAAGATTTCGGTTATATTTTTTGTTATCGTTATCCTTGTTGTGTAGACGACAAACAATTCTCTGCAATTCATCAATGATGATTGCTTTTTCCGATATAGCTCTGCTTGTAGGTAATTAAATTGTTACCTATAGATATCTGCAAATATTGTCTGATTTTAATTTAAAAGTTCAAAATGAATGATTCACTTGATATTCTACGACAGACACAATAAAATCTTTCAAAAATGATTCTCTTTAGGGTATGGTAAAAGTGATTAAAAAAGTGATAACCATTGTAGACATTGTAGTTTGAATTGTATAAATCTCACTTTTTCGTCGCCATTAACAATCCAATCGAAAAATGGTTTTTGCTGCCCCTCATTTTAAAATTGAATTTATAATATAAATGAAAAATATCGATTTATCTGCTTTGATCGCACACTGTACACTGCCAAGAGAGCATTCTTTCAGAGACATAAACCGAAATATCGATAAATACGTAAGGGACGACATTACTTAAAGGATGAGCTAATATTCACTACAAAACTAAAGCATTTGATTTAAAATACAAAAGATGACTTTGAAATATCTAAAAAGGTCTCCACCTATAAAAGGAACATACTTTATAATGTACCTCTTATACAACTCTTGTATAAAATGATTTTTAGATACTTTAGAAGTTACTTTACTTTAAGTTACATACTTTTAGTTACATACTTTAGTAGTTAATCAAGTTGCAAGTTGCGTGGATCTCCCTGTATATCGTACCTCTTACTTCATGTAAGCGTAATTAAACTCGTATTTGCTGGTGTATACTTTACAAAGATTATGAAAAGAAATGTAAACGATAAATATATATCAAAGTATTAAAATCTAAGCTTTCTCAATTTATTTCTAAAGTGGGATGAAGAAAAAGGTTTAGATAAAAATGAAATTTTGTCCCGCACTGTACGTAGATAAAAGTGTGACACGAAATAATCAACTTCAAAACAGAAAACAATTCACATTAAATGTAGATACGTGCAGAGATTATCGTCATATCAATGTCTCCGTTTGGACCAGGACTCGATCATTCGGCAGACAACAGTTTAACGAGCAAAGTTCTCGTTTTCAACCGCGACACATCAAAGATGAAAAGATGTAAACGAGCTCGTACAAGAAAGAAGAGCAAGCTTAAAGTGCCGGTTTGCGTAAACGGCGAGAAACAGATGGAAAGAAGTAACGCTGAAAAAACTCTGGCACGTGCAATAGCAAAGAGCCCAACGATAACTTTTATCCTTCGCTCAAGATCGGTCGCGGCTATAAACTTCGCCAAAGACCTTTATTATATTCCCGTCGAGTTTATTCCGCCACCAGTGACTTCCACGTTCGCGACTCTATTTCTAGAAAGATATTAATAACCCCAATCTCGTTTCACTGGCTGGCATGGCATAGCATGGAATGACAGAACTCGCACTCTTAACGAACAAAGTTTTAAAGTTTCTCTAGGAATCGTCTACTTCGTTTGCTTTTTAATATCTTCGACGTTGCGAACTCAACGTTGGGGTCTCAAACGAAACGTGTTCGCTTTTAGGCACTTGGTTGGGGAATGGCAAATAAATACGTGTAGGTGGTGGAATAAATATAGCGATCTACTTAAGAGGTTAGGACAGGGTGAAGGGCCAAAAAAAGATACGATTTTTAATCGGCAGTAGCGAAAAAAGTAATCAGTCAATTAACGCTCGAGGCCTTTTTCGCTGAAGCCTATCAGCAACTCGAGACACTTTGTCGCGTATTAACCTATTGGATATCGTTTAGGTTAATCCGTATCTTCTGTACTGTACCATCTAATCTTCATTATTTTAGGTTAGTCAGTAGTTTTATTTTCATGGGATAAGTAAATATTTTTAAGTTTCAAACCTAGTCATGCGTCCATACACCAACTACGCATTCGACCCTTGTACCCTTACTCACTAACTCCGAATAACACGGCCAAATCCTTAACATCCTACGTTTTTCATTGGTCCTTCCCCTTATTTCCACCGTCCTTCTGAATCCAAAAACACAAACGTTTAAAAGGCACACCAAAACTGCTCTCGCGAGCTTCTTCGTAATATATTACAACAGAAGTAGAAACGTAACGGTAATCTACATAATTTCCAAGTACCGAATTGTATTAGAAACCGAACTTTGAAATAAATCGGAATCTAACAAACCCTTTGCACTCGAGAGGTGATTTTCAATCACCACTAGGTTTCCTTTAGGTTTAATTTCTTCGGAATATTATTGACAAGTGTCAATAAAATGATCCTTTGTCGAGGCAAAGGTGACTTGATTCTTAAATCTCAAATTAGAGATCTCATTTTCAAAGTCTTGAGGGTCTTTGAATGGAATTCTGTTATCGATAACAGGCCTTACAATCTTTCTTTTAACTTGGCTGTTTTCTATTTGAATTCTATTCATCTTTTTGTTTAGAAATTAATTGTATTAACCCTTTCCACTCGAGAGGTGAGTCTCAGTCACCATTACGTTTCACGCAACAAATCTACAATACCTAATGTTTCTTTGGGGTTAATTTCTTTGGAGCTCGAAGTGTCAATAAAATAAGGTGACCTTATTCTCAAATCTAGATAGCTTAGAATTCATGGCAATAGAATGCTAAGAAACATCTCGAGTTGCTGGTAGTGACCAGAAAAAAAGGCCTCGAGTGCAAAGGGTTAAATTAGGGTTGGCTATAAATCAAAGGCCGCAGCCAGATAAGAAGAGACAATTTGACACAGCGCGAATGATTTTCATTTTTTTTAAACATATAATATATTCCTGTGAGTCTCAATTGTAATTTAGCTAACGGTAACCAGATATATTCTCTGGGACATATGTATATCTTCCACTAGGATCGAAAGAGTTAACTCCTATGACAATAATATGCAACTTTTCATTCAAATGGATTCTATTACCACGAATGCCAAGCAAGTCCTCAGGGGTTGTAGCTATGTTTGATTCTAACTACAGTACGGGTTTAGCAGTCCCGAGGTACTCGAGCTGTAGGAGGACCAGTGGGCCCCTGCATAATACATTAAGGATAACAGACCATTGGTATCCCTAATGGGAGAATCACGAAGAGAGATATCTAAGCAAATCTGAAGCAATAAACGCAAAAGTTGAATGAGTGTAAAGTACTGTTGTGGCGGCATGAAGATGCCGCAATATTGCGAAGTTGCCTCACATAGATGTATGATGAATGTATATTACTTTGTAAATGTCTGGTAATCTCAGAAATGAAAATTTAATAAAATTGAATAAAAGCCGCGAGTGTAAGAGACAATTAAAGTTGAAAGTTTTGAAAACAACTTTCTTCGCAGAAAAAATTACCTGTTTTGTTTAAGGTGCCCTAATGATTCTTTTCAATATTTTTTCTTCAATTTGTTTTTAAATGAAAGGTATATCGTTAAATTACAAATTAGCAGTGTCACTTAAAAAGTTACTGTACATAATGTATTACAAATGTTACGTTGAATGTAATAAAGAAAATTCTTAAAGTTATTAGTAATTGGCAAGGAGTATCTTATGAGTCTTAAGAGATCATAAAATTCTACAACATCGAATATTTTCAACATATTTTCTCTCCTATATAATTATGCAAGAATTATTTCCTACTTCGTCCTACTTCACAAGTTCACAATCTATCAGCGCTAAATGGCCGCGGTCATGTTTCAGTCACCACAATGCAATACAAAATTCTTCAGATTGAAACACTTCAAATGTTTATGCTATGGTACAGATAAGAGTTCGCCTAGGCGTTTCTCTTTCGATCTGCATTCAGTTGATCCGAAGCCTTACCAGCGTGAACAGTGACATTTTTTTGAGCGTTATATTCTATCTTTTTTTCTTATTGTTAAAATTTTGCATTGCATAGTT